AATTTTGCCACCTGGGTGTGACACAAATCCAAACGCCCAAGCTCTCCCTATATCTGTCCCTTTATGACCGGCTGAAGTTCTTTTAAATTGTGCTTGGTTCTATTACAGCAACTGAAGGAGTCAGGTTCAAGCTTAAACAGTTACAAGTTTATTGAGGAAGCTTATAAATCATATGGTTGCAATGGCTATTGTTTTATTTCTTAACTATTAGCAAAATATAGGTCTTAAAATGGTTACAAAGAAGATAAAGATAGAAAAATAGAAATAATGGTACCAAGTAACAGCTTACTCTTTCTATGTGTACACTTAAGACAGAGGACCACATCCAGGTACCATTTTTACCCCCTTCTGTGCCTCTCGACTCCAGCATGTCAGGCCAGGGCCGGTCCCTCAATTCCTAGGAAAGACGAAAATACGAGGTGGGCGTCCCCATAGAACCTCGGGAGGTCAAACACCTAACCCGACCAGCAGGTAGAGGGTAGAATGACACTCAAAGTGAGTGTGTGCTGGGCCCATCTTTTATAATCATGGGGTCACGTATTTCTCTTTCTTATCTTAATTGCCAATTGATGCTGGTCTGTCTGCTGTGAGACCAGTTCTTACAAGGGAGTTGTGAACTTAATTTACACTTGTAAGAGAGATTTGAGATGATTAAATTTTGAAGTACAGGACATTGTTTTCTCAGTGGGAAATTCCTCTTCCTGGGACTGTGTGTGTTCGAATCAACATAGGTGCCAGCCGCAGCCTCGAGGCCAGCTTATTGACTTAGCTGCTCTCTATCCACATATCTGTGTTTCAGCTTCTCAGGATAAGATGAGCCAGCATAGACTATGCTGATATTATTGCTCCTTCTCTGCCCTGTGCTTCAGAGAGGCAAATAAGATGGATGATATGGGGTCGGGCTGTCTGGCCACATGCAGGCATGCCTATGTGCTGTAATCAGCACTCCAGCATGTGTGTGGGGTGGTGTCTGCGCCCTTGCGGCTAGTCTGCAGCTGGCTGCACCCCCTCCTGTTTGGGAGCAGAACTCATGTGGCCAGGCATGAGGCTGGCAGCAGGCTCCTGGGAAGGTTGAGAGGCTGGGGGGCGGGGGGCTGCACATGGGTGCATGTGCCCAGACTGCAGTAGCACATGCTGGCCTAGCTGCCCGTGTGACACTGTGCCCCCCGCCCTCTGTGCGGCCACCTTCCCTGCCCTGAGTGTGTTTGTGTGTGCTGACATACCTGAGGATCCCTCCCAAGCCTTCACGGAGGCCTGGGAGATGTCCAGGCTGGCAGGGACTGGCTCCAGGGACAGGGTGATGGTCCCGCTTTCCTGGTCCTCGTCCTTGTCCTCCTGCTCCATCGCAGGCTGGACCTGGCCCTTCGGCTCCTCCAGCTCAGGAACAGGCTCCGGGTGCTGGAGGATGGGCTGCTCCAGCACAGAGTCCATCACAATGGAGGGGGGAGTCCTGGGAGCCCTGTGTCTCGGGCACCTGCTTGCTCCACCATCTGTTCCAGCAGAGAAAGGTGGAGAGGCTGGCTGCTGTGGCCACATGCCGCACCATCCTGCTGCACATGGGTGCATGTGCCCAGACTGCAGTAGCACATGCTGGCCTAGCTGCCCGTGTGACACTGTGCCCCCCGCCCTCTGTGCGGCCACCTTCCCTGCCCTGAGTGTGTTTGTGTGTGCTGACATACCTGAGGATCCCTCCCAAGCCTTCACGGAGGCCTGGGAGATGTCCAGGCTGGCAGGGACTGGCTCCAGGGACAGGGTGATGGTCCCGCTTTCCTGGTCCTCGTCCTTGTCCTCCTGCTCCATCGCAGGCTGGACCTGGCCCTTCGGCTCCTCCAGCTCAGGAACAGGCTCCGGGTGCTGGAGGATGGGCTGCTCCAGCACAGAGTCCATCACAATGGAGGGGGGAGTCCTGGGAGCCCTGTGTCTCGGGCACCTGCTTGCTCCACCATCTGTTCCAGCAGAGAGCTGCGCAGCAAGGCAGTTGGCTGTGGGCAAGTTTCCTGCCGGAATGGCTGTGCAGGGTGCCTGCCCCTTTGAGGGGCCAGCAGACAGGAATAAGAGAGTTGTGATTACCTGCAACGGAGCGTCCACATGGCCACCTGTGATTTTCCCCGGAGGCCAGTTTTTGTGCAAAACCCCCTGTGGAGCATCCACACTTGCCTTTTTGCGTAAAAACTCTTGCGCAAAAAGGAGTTATTTCTTGTGGGGAGAGGAATAAAAGCCCTCTGTTCTGCCGATTTTCTTGCGCAAAAGCGCATTTGAAGTGTGAACGCTCTGCTGGTTTTTGTGCAAAAACACCTGTTTTTGTGAAAAAACCTTGTAGTGTAGACATAGCCTAAGGGAAACCCCATTAGTAGCAGGGCAGACTATTAGCATGGGGTCTCCAGAAGTCTCCTTTGGCACCTTAGTGGAACCACAGATAATCATGATTATCTTCCTCACACACAGAGTTGGGGTGCAGATGGGAAATTTGCTTTCTTGAAAGCAAGGAAGGAATGGGAAAGGTTTGATTTTAATTTTCATCCTAAACTGTTCCTTAACAGTACTTTTGTCATGGAGCTTTTCCTTGTTCTTTAAGCTTGAGTGCTTTTGAATGTCCTTGATACTTGGCTCAAACATTGACAGTTGTGATGAAATAACTCCTGAGGATTCTGCTCTCTGACTTGAGAAGGTTGTTGGGAGTAATTGCAAGATTCATATTCTGAATATTTGGTGAATACAGCAATTATTCATTGAATATTGTATTCAATCTGCTTTGTTTAGAACAGGATAACATTTAGAAGCAGGATGAATTCAGAAATACTGAAATTAGTTCACTGACCATGAATGAAGAGAATTATGCTGGAGAAATTCTGTGTAAGAAACCTGGAAGGATATTTCAGTCTTGTATCAATGGATTTTCTATCCAAAGAGTGCTCCAAATTGACTAATGTTCTCTCATGCTTTAGGAATTGATTACAATACTGTAGATATGTACTGTGAAGAAATACAGTATATGGAAAGGGGCCAAAAACAATCTGATGATGAGATATTATAGGGTTTTCTAGGCAGTATATGGTGAGATTGGGTTCAGTGCATAAGGAAGTGATGCAGTTTAACTATGGCTGAATTTATATTTCTTCACAGTACATATCTACTGTATTCTAATCAATAAAGCATGGGAGAACATTAGTCAATTTGGAGCACTCTTTGGATAGGTATGCTGGAGGGAGGGAGAAACTACAACTAGACTCACCTCGCAGCTCAGCCATATGCTTCTCCCCAGTCCTGTCCCCAGAGCTGCACATACAACTAGCTTCAGTTGAGGCAGCTGCTGAGGCCCAGCAGCCAATGGTTCATGGATCAGCACCAGTCCACGGACTGGCAGTTGAGAACCGCTACCCTAAAACACAGGACATTGTATGCAGGGCAACTTTATTCAATTTCCTTTCACACTGCAAAAGAGATAATATGATAAGGTATTTTCAGAGTAGGATGCTTAACCTTATAATCACTTTTATGTGCAATAAGAAAATGAAAATAGCTGTATTAGATTTCACAAATCAGGTCCAGCTTAAGTCTTTCTCATGCATCTGTCAGGACTGCAGGCACAAAGCAGGGTTTTCTCTTCAGTGAGACCACCATGACAAGTGAGAAAAGCCATTCGCCTGGCACTGTGGTTGTCACAAGATATTTACATGCCAGATGTGCTAAAGAGTCAATCACTGTTCCAAAAGACATGCTTCCATGCTGATAACAGGTTCTGCTCAATAGCAATCAAAAGAGGTGCGGACCAATGTATGTTCATTTTCATGATCGGAGTCAGTTGCCACCAGCGGAAGGTAGATTTTCTTTGTAGTTTCCATATTGGCGTGTTGCTCTTGAGACTTCTGAAAACATGCACTACACCTTGTCCCTCTCAGATTTTGGAAGGCACTTCTGATTCTAAAACCTTGGGTGTACTGCTGTGGGTACAGTTACATAATAAAAAACAACAAGAACCCTACATTTGTAAATTGTACTTCCATGATAAAGAGATTGCACTACAATACATGTATGAGGTGAATTGAAAAATACTCGTACTTTTGTTTCATTTTTATAGTGCAAATATGTGTAATCAATATAAAGTAAACCCTGTGTAGTTTGTATTCTGTGTTGTAACTGAAATCAATATAATTGAAAATGAAAAAAAAGTCCCAAAAATATTTATTAAATTGTAATTGGTATTCTATTAACAGCATAATTAAAACTGATTAATTGTTATTATTTTTTAGAATTAACTGCAATTAATTGACAGTCCTACTTATCCATGACTTTTATGAGATGTTGAAGAGCTTTAGAAAGTGCATTAGGATTAAAATTCATGGTGCCATGTTTCCAAGTTATCAGAATCTGACTGATATGCTTTCTGAGATTGAAAAGCTTTTGTTTTGGACGATATGACCATTTAGAAGTTTATATTTTTACGGAGTTAATACACTGTTTAAATAATATCATGAATATATCGATATGGGAAGTAGTAACTGCTGTGAAATCTGAAAATGACAATATAATTTGAAGTTATGCTATAAACTAAAATAATTTGGGACTATTACTTATGGCCAAATATAGTTTTTCATTAGGCATATCTGCTGGCTCTGTTTTCAGTAAGGACTGTAAGATTTAGCAACCACTGAGTAGCATATAGTAGGTACAAAATATGCAAGGGAAAACTACAGTGTAAAAATATGTGTTAATCTAGAAGAAAGCAGTCAGAGCAATAGAAGTTATCTTTATTCATTGATGAAATTACAACTTTTGGAACACTTGTAGATCCATTTGTAATATATCCATTGACTAGAGTAGGTAGTAGCTTTAGAATGGTATATATAAATGCTTATAAAGTTGCCTGGGCTGTACTGTATAACACAATAAGATTTTTTCTGTTGAAAGTATTTGTTCAATTCAGTTCTTTCTTTACTTGCATTTGACCTTTCTTTATGTTGATTTTGCTTCATTTTTTTTTCATTTACCATGCTGTTCAGTTTTTGGATGCCAGGAGAACAAAGGTTTGTCCACTACTTGCAGTCAATTTGTTTTGCAAAATTCATTATTGCTTATAGTTTATTCAGGTTTTGTTTGTTTGTTTGTTTGTTTGTTTGTTTGTTTGAGATGTAGTAACCCTGTTTACTAAGTTGTTCATAGCTGTATTTGGAAAATAAAAATTAACCTTTATTTATAGGGATGGCTATGAGTTGCATTATAACACAAAAGTGGAAAAAAGTGGAAGGCAATTATTTCTAGTGTATGAAACAACTTAGGAAACAAGGAATACTGAGTCTCCACGCTTTATAGGCACAAAGTATACAAGTGTTTGTGTTACTTTGAGATTTTTGCAACAGTTCACTTTCATTTCACTGCCTCATATTAAGCATTAGTTTTACCTGTAATTGTCACTATTTTGTGTATGTGTGTTTCCATCCATGTTTTATATTTTTCTAGTAGAGGTTGAAAACCTTTATTACAAGTGTTTTGTCACAGATGCATTTGACATTTTTTATATGACCACTTGGTAGAATCATCACTAATTCTATTAACTTTTATACCTTTTCCTATAATCATCTTAACAGAAGAAAAGAACACAAATTACATTTAGATCCTTTATTGACCTTTTTTGTTTTTCTGTGTATGTATTACAGCATTTGCAACTGACGATCCAGGCACTTCAAGATGAGCTTCGAACTCAGAGAGATCTTAATCATCTTCTTCAACAAGAAAGTGGAAACCGTGGAACTGAACATTTTACTATTGAGCTTACAGAGGAGAATTTTCGAAGACTTCAGGCAGAGCATGACAGACAGGCCAAAGAGCTCTTTCTGTTGAGAAAAACTCTAGAAGAAATGGAGTTGAGAATTGAAACACAAAAGCAAACACTAAATGCCAGAGATGAATCAATAAAAAAGCTTCTAGAAATGTTGCAAAGTAAAGGTTTGCCATCCAAAGGAATGGAAGATGACAATGAAAGAGCTCGAAGGATGGCTGAAGCTGAATCTCAGGTTAATCATTTAGAAGTGATTTTAGACCAGAAAGAAAAGGAAAACATACATCTTAGAGAGGTAAGAAACATCTTAATTTTAAATCTTTTTTGTTAAGATGACACTGGCAAGGACATTTGTCCTATTTTTGAAAATATATTTTATACTATTTTGAATCTTAAAACTGGAATTTACTTTCTTTTTGAATGTTCTTAAATTTAAAGATAATGAAAGATTTAATTTCAAATTCTTCTAGTCCACAAACACATGGAATTATGTAGATTCTGGAAAAAAGTATAAGAAAATAAATTAGATCACATTTTGGGGTTTTCCTGTTTTGATAGAGTTGCCAACTGTCTAATCACACAAACCGAAGATTCTTGCCCTGTTACTTCCCTGAGGCCATGCCTTGACTTTGCCCTGCCCCTTCTGAGGCCCCACCTCTCTCTCATTCTCCCCCCTCCCCCTTCCTCCTCCTCTCTCCCGCACCCTCACTCATTTTCACTAGCCAGGAGTAGAGGGTTGAGGGCAGGCTCTGGGAGAGAGTTTGGTTATGGGCTCTATGCTGTTATCTGGCAACCTTAACCCTGACACTTCTGTGAGGCCCCACCCCTCACACTCCATCTGTTTTCCCTCCATTGCTCACTCTCCCTCATCCTCACTCACTTTCACCTTGATGGGCAGGGGGTTGGGGTGCGACCTCTTGGCTAAGGCAGAGGAATACAGAGTGTGGGAGGGAGCTCTGGGCTGAAGCTGGGGAAAGAC